GGAAGCGCGGCGGCGCTCCCGCCCGAGGGTTCGGATCCCACATACAGACCGGTTCCTGCTCACTGGCTGAGCGAGGCGCGGGAGCGACCCCGAGGGTTGCGATCCCGTTGCCGGTCCCCGGTCCGGTACGGGGGCAACACTGAGGGTTGCGATCCGTTGCCAGACACGGAAAAAGACAAAAGACAAAAAATATATATATATATATATATGTATATATATATATCAGGTTTAAACATAAATTTAGGGAATAAGTAGAAGGGAGAAAAGGCCTTTATTATTTATTTTTGAGGTCTACTTTCTGAATAAATGGAAATATGAAATTTGTCTTTTCTGAAACTGGCTTAGTGATTGTGTATCACAGAATAATTGTAATGTAATTAGGTTGAAAGATGCTTTACTTCATGGCTAATAAAAAGGATATGTAGTTTTTTGTTTGAAAAGTTTTATAACCTAAAAACTTTATTTCCTTTTAAAATCTGTACCAGTGGTTTCCATATCTGGTTGCACATTAGAATCATTTACAGAGCTTTGAAAAACATATGGAGCAAAAGAGAAGCTGAGGAGACCAAGAGCTCAGAGGAACAAATGAGAGGTCTGTGAGTTTGTTGGGCTAACATTCCCATTTAATCTCTGTAGTACCCTTTCCTCTGAATTATGAGTAGAAATTCACCATCCCTATTCTCAAGCTCTTTGTCAGATCTTTGGCTGTCCAGGAAATCTTGCTGTTGGGGAGAACGTCTCTTCAGAGCTGTATCCAGTGGTGCCTCAACTGGTATCTGTGAGACCCTAGAGCTCAAGACAATGATAATATTTCCTATGAGAAAAAGTATCTCAAAGGCTGTTGAGCACATCAATAAAATTATTGGGACTGCCCTTATTAGCAAGCAACTAAATGTTGTGGAACAAAAGAAGACTGGCCAATTGATGATAGAGATGGATGGCTCTGAGAAAGGTCTAAATTTGGTGCAAGGACTGTGCTGGGAATATGTTGCTGTCTGTATGGCTAGAGCTGCTGAAAAAGGGTTCCCCCTGCTGTCACAGAATTGTGAATCCGCTGGCAATTCTGAAATTCATCCTGTCAGTTCCAGCTTTCACGGTGATCAGCGATGGTTCTCATGCTGGCCACAAGCTGGCAGTGTAGGAGTTCATGATCCTCCCTGTCAGCAAACTTCAGGGAAGCCATGCTCATTAGAACTGAGGCTTATTACACCTGAACAGTGTCATCAAGGAGAAACAGGAGATAGCTGCTACCGATATGGGGGCTGTGTGGTAGGCCGAATAATGTCTCTCAAAGATGTCTACGTAATGTCCCTGGAAACTGTGAATTTATTACTTTACATGGGAAAAGGGATTTTGCAGATGTGATTAAGCTTATGAACCTTGAAATGGGGAGATAATCCTGTATTATCTAGGTGGGCCCAGTGTAATCTCATGAATACTTAAAAGCAGAGAACCTGTCATGTCTGTGGTCAAAGAGATATGCCAGAGAGGTATGATGTTGTTGGCTTTAAAAATGGAGAAGTGGGCCATGAGCCAAGGAATGTGGGTGACTCTGGAAGTTGAGAGCAACCTTTGGCTGACTGCCAGCAAGGAAACAAGGATCTCAGTTTCACAATTGTAAGGAACTGGATTCTATTACATCCCAAATGAGCAGGAAACAGATCCTTCCCTAGAGCCTCCAGAAAGGAATACAGCCTTGTGGATACCTTGATATTGACCTGGTGATACTCAAATCACACTTTTGCATTCAGAACTATAAGATAGGAAATGTGTGTGGTCTAAGCTGCTAAATTTGTGGTCATTAGTTATGGCAGTAATAGAGAGCTAATACAGGGCTGGAGAGAGTTTTGCTCCTAATATCTTAGAGAATAAACAAGCCTGGAGCTGCTACAGAATGCAATTGGGAAAGCTGGCTACATTGATAATATTAGAACTGGCATGAGCATAGTTGCCTTTGAATTCTTTTAGGTCTGGACTTCAAATTTCCTGATGATCCTAGCAGGTACATAATCCCCAAGTAGCTGGTTGATCTGTAGAAGTCCTTCATTAGGGAAAACCTAGTAATATCTAAGATTCCTTTGACCGTGTACACTGGGAAACGAAAGAAGTTAACTGCTAATGTATGTCTCCAGAAGGCGGGGAATGGTCTCACAACGACTTAACTCGAGGTAAATTGCTAAGGATGTGGATGAAAATTCATGCAACTTTCTCCAGCTTGTAGTGGACCAGACTGGCATGTAAGCTGGTCGAGTCCAATTGGTAGGGCATCATGGTTTCTCATTACTCACTGACTTAAGATACTTTCATTGCCAACCTGTTGGTGAGGCTCTGCACTGGACAGATATCACAGGGGCACCTTGCTGATCTGAGCCCTTGGCCATGTACAAACAGCTCAGTTTTCTAGAAAGAAGTCCTAGCCAAATACACTATGGAAAGGAAAGCCCCTGAAATTTTCAAGCACTAGCCAGTTGAGTAGACCTTTCCTCCTAAACTAAATAAGGGCAGCTCAAGGCATCAGACCAAGACTCATAGGGCCTTGATATTTAACTCCGTTGCCGTGATGTTCTCACTGCCTAATTAAAGTTGCTACACGAGAAGCCAAGCTTGATCAACTGGAACACCATTGGAAACCCTAGCCTTGTTCATCACAAGATTGGTTCAAAGTCATCATTTTGCTCTCTTTTCTCCCCACATCAAGTGTGGGTAGCATGATAGCAGAGTTTCTGAGGTGTCAATAGGCAAGATCTCCAGGGGGGTTTTCTTGGTTTTTGTTTGTGTGTGTGTATGTGCAAAATATTCAGTAATACTCACCTCTCTTCCCTCCTCCCCAACAGAACAAAACATACATAGACTGCGAGGTCTCATTCTTAGAGGTCCAGATTCAATAGGTCTGAGGTGGCACCCAGGAAACTATATTTTTAAGAAAAGTACCCTATTTGGCCAATAGAGTACCAGCATTTGGGACTTCTGGCCTACGTAAACCATCTGTAGTCTATGATGAAACAAAGCTTGGATTGCGATAGTGGACTTGATCTTGGTCAAATTGCTAGATTTATGAGGAAAAAAAGAAAAGAAAATGAAAAAAACTTGGTACCTTGTCTTCTAGAAGCTCATAATGTTGTCGGAGAGACACAGATAAACACAGAAGTAAAAGAATCTAGGAAAGAATTGTGGGTAAGGTTGGGCGTGAGCAGGTGCTTTATGGGACTCCTGCTGGTGGAGATGGGGGACAAGAAAAAGGCCATACAGGTGAGTAAGCCCTGAGGGCTTTTTATTTGGAAATTATTTTAAAAAATCAAAAGAACAGTATAATAGCAACAATAACAACTACCTAGATTTAATAATTGTTAAAATTCTGCCTCATTTGCTTCCCCCCTTTTTCTTTAGAAACCTTTTTTTTTTCCTTTTTGTCTTTTTTACTGACCGGTAACGGGATCGCAACGCTCGGTGTCGCGTCTGCACCGGGGACCGGCAACGGGATCGCAACCCTCGGTGTCGCGCCGCGCTGCGCTCAGCCAGTGAGCGGGAACCGGTCTCCACATGGGATCCGAACCCTCGGCGGGAGCGCCGCCGCGCTCCCAAGCGGCGCACTCTCCAGTGCACCACCGGGCTGGCCCTTTAGAAACCTTTTGAAAGTAAGTTGCTGACATCATGGCACTTCAACTGAATATTTCAGCATGCATCTTTTCAAAATAAGATGTTTGTCTATGTAAGCACAATATTATTAAAACAGTTGGAAAACAATCATTCCATAATGTCTAATATACAGTCCATTCTCAAATTTTCCCAGTTTTCCCTCAAGATCTAGTCAAGGTTCACACATTTCATTTGTTTGTTATCTCTCACCTCTTCATTTAAAATGGTCTCCCTGCCTTTTTTTCCTCCTCCATGATATATGTTTTTTTTCCTTTTTGTCTTTTTTACTGACCGGTAACGGGATTGCAACCCTCGGTGTCGCGCCCGTACCGGGGACCGGCAATGGGATCGCAACCCTCGTTGTTGCGCCCACACCACGCTCAGCCAGTGAGCGGGAACCGGTCTCCACATGGGATCCGAACCCTCGGCAGGAGCACCGCCGCACTCCCAAGCGGCGCACTCTCCAGTGCGCCACCGGGCCGGCCCTCCGTGATATTTTTTAATGAAAATTTTCATTGAGATAAGTGTGGATTCATGAAATCATAAAAAATAATACAGAGAGGGCCTTTGTACACTTTGCCAATGTCTCCCAATGAAAACATTTTGCAAAATTGAAGTATAATACCACAACCAAGATACTAACATTGATACAGCCCACTCATCTTACTCATATTTCCAGTTTGACTTTTACTCATGTGTGTACAATTTTATAGAAAATTGTGTAAGTCTCTGTTTCTACCACCACAGTCAAGATATTGAACAGTTCCCAAACCACAAGAATCCCTCATGTTGCCCTTTTATAACCACACCCTCTGCTTCCTGCATGCACCCCCCCCCCCCCCCCCCCCCACCGAAAACCCGGGCCACCCATTTTTTTTTTTTTTTTTTTAAAATTTTTTTT